TAACCACACTGAACACGATTTCATAAAAGGGTGGTTTGTCTAACTGCAGTATCCTAGGTCAATGTTGACGTTGTGTTCAATCTTTGTATAAAACTCGGCTGAGGTTGTGGTGGTAATTTAAAATCGTGATTCCTGATTATTCTTGATCTTCTTTTTATGACATCAATATTTCCGGGCTTAATCCAAACAAAGTTAAAGCAGACAAACATTAATTGTAAACAAAAAGCTACCATGAAGAATTAAAACAGGTAAACAATTTGCATTTATCCTTTTTTATTAAGACTCGTGTACAGAGCCTCGATTTGTACTGTGGTTTAATTAATTTTGGTCTAAACTATTTTAAACTGCGGTATAATTATCTCTACTAATCTTACTTATTTCCTATAATCAATGACAAAATAAGAGTAAATAAAATAACCTCATAGTTCCATACTTTATATTTAACCAGCTGTTAGTTAAAACAAATTATATTGCTCTAAAACAAATCGAAGATTACAAAGATTGCTTTAAAAAAATAATTTGAACATCGTAGTATTTTACTATGTATAATTTAATTAATCTGTCAATCTCTTACAGAAGAATTGAACGTATCAATGATTTGCATTACACATAGTATAAATAAGTCAACCCTAAGTATCTCTTTACATTTTTATCCAAATGCTGAATTTGTGACACAAAAGCTGAATGTTTACAGCTGTTATGTTAAGCAAATTATTTTATGCCAAAAGCTAGTTTAGAATCATAGCGTCGGCTGCTAGACTTTTTAAAAATTAAAACTTAATTTCTAAAAAACTGGGACCCTAAACTAAATTTATGGCTTCGACATTCCCTAGTTCTCAAAATTATCTTTCTTTCGACACAAAAATCATGAAAATCCGTCGAGTGGTTGATTCAGAATCGTGAAATAAAAAAACACTGTTTCGTTTTAATATTATAGATAGATAGATATTACCATGAGTATATGGGTCGATGAGTGTTTTGTGCACCTAATATACTATAGTCTGTATGAAGGAAGATATCTCCGGACTCCGTCTACCTGGGAATGACCCAGCCTATGTATACCTAGCCAGGAGACTGGTTCCATCATACAGACTATACGACCAGCTAAATAACTAGGCGAGGGCCTAAAAATAATATTTCAGCGATTCAGTTTCGATGACATAATCTAACTTTTTTAAATCTATACTATAATAAAATAGATAATAGACTGGCTGCTTTCCCATCAAACAAAAATTACCAACAAAAATTATAAAAATAGTACACGATTAACTGTAGGTATACACACGTTTTGATTTAAACTTACACCGCTAACTCCGGGAGGAAAAATTAACTTTGGACAGTACACACAGAATGGTCGCAACGACAACGGTAAGAAAATCACCAAGATTACATGTGATTTGCTTACTTTCTTTGATGCAATTATTGTTAGAGTGTCAAAGGTCACAGAACTAATCACATTAAATAAACTTGAATATCTTGTAAGCTGAGTGACAGGTATATTATGGCGAAACTTATAAGAAGCAAGTCGTTCAAAGGACTTTATTCTAGGCTAATACACCGTTGCGATTCACAGATTATGCTGCTATAAGTTATACAACAAAACATTGTAGTACTTTACTTTACCATAGCATATTTCATAGAATACAAACGCAACACACCAAGGAACGACACTGTGTTATAGTACAAGAAAACTACAACTTAATACAACATTAAGCAACTAGAACAAACCAAAACAACCCCGTGAGTGCAGGTGAGTTCAATGACCTGAGTCACTATGATAGCAAGGTGAAGGTCGTGATACGACCTTGGTTGGAAACGACCTTGGAACCACTATCTATGAGGCAGTGCACCCAAGTCTCCGCACTGGCTTGCTGCACGCACTGCACTCCATTCTACTTACCGTGTTTTATATGATATTATTATGAGTCATTTTATACTTTTTAGCGAATTTCCCTATAGGGAAGTAGCTATTACCGTAGGTCTCATGGTAAGACTTAGGCCCGGGACCGATTTACTTTTTCATTTTAATGTCCCCAGAGGCCAAAAACACCATTCGTTCAAATTTTTATATATGTATATATATATATATATATATATATATATATATATATATATAGATTTATATATATATATATGTGTCCGTGAACACGATAACTTGAGTAATTTTTATCCGATTTTGATGAAATTTGGTTTGAAGGTGTAAGGCGGGATAAACTTGAATGAGTTCGCGATCCAGCATGATCGGACCATGGGAACAGGGTTTTATAGGGGGTTTTATGGGGTAAAAATGGGTTTTTCTCACTTTTTACCCTCAAAACACAAAATTTCCCAATTTTTCTCTAAACCTTCTTAAAGAGCTTAAAAAAACAAACAATTCAGTATATCAAAGTGTTTTTGTACGGTTATTGGTTACGGAGAAAACTAAAAAAATGGTAAATTTAAAATTCCCATGTTATTCTTATGGAAAATATTGTAAAATGTTGAAGTTTGCTTGTTTATGGATATATTTTGATCAAAGTTGGCAAATTTATTTATTTTATAGTAAGCTATCAATATTTTACTAAAAACACACTACTTTATTAGTTTCCTTGTAGCAGCAAACCTAGGTACTCGTTAAACCTAATAATGTTATTTAAATAGATCAATTGAAAATCAATTCGGACAAATGGAAATTCGCTTAGACGGCAGGTTTGCTGCGGCGGGGGTATTTATTCGCATTTTGGACTTTCCTGCCTCGGTTACAAGTTGTCCACATAATTTTGATAAGCAAAGTTACCTGTAAAATCGTTAGAGTTCTGGATCAATCGAATTTTTTTCCGGAATACATAACTGTGCTATAAGTATTCTGTGCAGGTATTTCGGTGCTATGGATTTGTGATAAGAACATTTTAAACATTGGTAAAAGCAGGAAATTCATGAAGGTATTACATGGTTACGTTTTGTTTTGCGCATAACTGTTGGTTACACATGAACAATCTTCCGTATAAATTGTGATTTCAAATAGTAATTTAAATTGTCCATCAGGAGAGTGGGAAATAATTTCTATGTAGTTTTATGGACACTACGTATTTCTTCTGCAATGGACTGTTACGCCAAGACCTATAAGAGATGTTTTATAATTGACAGAATAACTGTTTTCAATTGCAAGCCGAAGTGATAGAAGTACGTAGCGAATGCGTGTTCATGACTAGAAACGCTCCAGGCTTCTTCATGGACAAGTCTGGTTCGAATATGATATCCCATGAGTTATTACTGCAATACCTATCTATACTTAAGTGCATGCAACAGCAATATACCATTTATATAGCAATCAAGTTGTGTTTATAAGTCTAAAATTATACACCTGTATCAAATATTGACATGTAATATTTTTGTAAAAAAATGTATTACTTAGGAATTGTAATACATTTAGGAATTGTAATTGTAATACAATTCGTAATCCATTTACGAAAAGATAAACTACATCATTACTATTATATCATCAGGTTCACGGTGAAAAACCATCCCATTTCAATAAATTATTACATACAAAAAATTATTTTATTATTCTAAAATGTCCACAGTACCTTTGCTCACATTTGATCAAATCGAAACAGTAGAAATTCCTATCAAAGAATGTTTCTCATATCTCTTTATGCAATAAAAACCATTGCCTAATCACTCCATTAACCTTCATCTACTGTAAAAAATCTATTTCAAATATTTTTTTTATCCTCAGTGCCGACACTAAGAGAACACAAAGTTTACTATATTTTGTGGTAATACCAGACGCGAAAGCCCATAAATTAAAACTTCACTCATCAAATTCCTTCAAAACCGTTGAAATAGGCCTAGGTGACTCTTCATAGCCTCTCATAGTGTTGAAAAGCACTTTCATTCTAAAATGAGCTATAACGATTGGATCACCTCATTATTCACTCTGATTCTAATATCGCATTAAACATTGTTAAGTACTTTTTCATAAATTTGATGTAATTTACAACAATTTTCTTTTAGTTTTGTTTTATCACCTGCAGTGTACCTCTTCAGTCAGTTTGTATTTCAGATCTTTTTTTTCTTTCCTTTCATACGTTTCCATTCTTTTCGACCGTTGTTATTATCACACTTTCAACCCCTTTGTATATTTCAACTTAAACGTTCTGAGTTTGTTTTTAAAATTTAAAGGAAGCTTTTTAATTCTATTGTGTGTTGTAACGCTCTCTTGTCTTCCAAGAGTTTGGTTATTTTCCTGCTTATTTTAGGTAAATGTGTCCAAATATGACACCCCAAGATTTACGTTTCGTTTTTTCTTTAAAGTACCACCCCTCAATAACTTAGAACCTCTTGATCTTCTCATCTACGTATAAATCTCATAGAGCATGTCCCTAAGTACATTCTCACTCCGTGCACATAGCGCAATCTATCCCCTAAAAATTTGAGTATAGTGGTGGTTGAGGGTTTTTAGAAGTACTATGTCTAACATCTACTGCCTGCCATCTGTTTATTAGATCCCATGTTGCAATCATTGTTATAATCTGTTTACATTTTGTTAGTTCCTTTCTCAGCCATGTTCAATCAACTATCGATTGTCTTTCACCTTTTTATTTCGTGAAATCGTATTAATATTACCAATCATCATTAGAGGGTTTGTGAAACCTCCCAAGATTGAAAAGCACTTTAATCCCAAAACAAGCCGTGACAAACCAATATATATTCTTATGATTGCAAAGTAAATATTGACTTATTTCAATAATACATCCACTTAACTGTCTTTTCTTAGCATTCATCAATATTGTTCAACCCCTTCGGGATTTTCTAATAGCTAAACACTTAAAATGTCTATTCAAAATATCATTCTTCGGAAGTTCCGAACCCTTGCATATCCCTCTGTCGTGCACCGTGCACACGCCGCGAGTCGTCCCCTTGACAGACGACTGTGCCGGTGGAGACGGTGGAGGGGGCGACGGACGACGGACCGCGGCGAGCGGGCGACTCTAGGTCCACAATCTCGTCAGTTGTGCCGTGAACTTCCTCGTGGAGCGTACCTTGCAGGAGCGTAGCACGGCCGTGTAGGATATCCATTGGTGAGTCACATTGACATACTGACTAGCAATGAGGCATTAGTAGACTACGAGTTCTTTCTTTAAATCTTTAATCATCCTTTAATTAAATATATTTTTTTGAAATTTTATGTTCGATGTTAGAAATTGGTCCATTTACATGATTTAAATTGTTGCATTAGTGAAATTTGAATTACATATTTTTTCAATAACTTTTTTTGTAAGACGATTAGCATTAAATTAAATACTTCGGTTATTATGAGGATGGATGGGTTATGAGGATGGATGTACTTACGTTTAAATTTAAATAAAACTATATCATTACAAACAAAATTATACATTCTTACAGGTTTTTACGTGTTGAGTTAAACCTTCTAAAAGTTAAAAGTCATCAGTAAAGGAAAGTGTAATTTGTATTATTTAGTTTTCTAATTAATGAATTTCATCTAAGACTTTACAGAAAACAACAAGTTAATTTGCACAATACAATATGCAAACGAACGTAAACGTAAAATAGACTTCGTCAATAATAAGTCAATTTACAAAACTTTCAAGAGGCTATGTTAACGCAGAACACCATTTTACAGGAACAAAGTAATTTCAACGAGTAAAATCAACTGATAACACACAACGGTTATACTAAGGTACAAGCAATATATTCGCAAGGTTTACAAAGAAATACGTGAAATCAAATTAAATGGTAAATAAGATTTGCAATAAGGTTTATTAGTTTTACTACCAGTTAACAACTTGTTTGATCAAATTACGTCAGGAAGCCGTAGTATATTTTACGTTTCTGGCGGATAAAACTACTTAAATCTTGCTTAAAATTTTTTTTCAAAATAATGTATATGAAATCTTTTGATTACGTTAATACTGATAGTACTCTAATGGACTAGATTTTTAAATACTATACATAATAAAACGAATCGTCTAGTTGACAACCTTATGCGAAGTTGATTAGTGTCAATTAGTCTAGGCCTATGTTTTACTTTCGTTTTACAGTGAAAAAACAAAAACAAATTTAAATAACATAAATAACTATATTATTGAGACATCAAGCATTTATTAAATATTTAATCTCGAAATATTTCCAATTAATGTAATTATTTACGGTATGCACTCTTTATTGTAATGCGTAATATTACTATATTTAGTAAACGTGATATTAAAAATACAAGCTACAAAATTTAAAGTTTTCTAATTTTTAACTGGATTAATAAATTGAACAAGTAGGATAGTTGAATCCAAATAAAGAAATCGTGTAATTATTTATCAGTAATGTAGAAGACATGTAAAATCGTAAAAATACCACATTTATACAATAAATTAGATGCGTAGAAAATACTTGCTGAAATAATATTTTCCAAAATTATCTACGATCTCTACACTAATAAATTTCAAAAACGTGCAGAGGTAAACCCAAATGAAAAACTCATTTAGGGTACAGCAATTGCTATGTAGTGAAGGTGTTAGATATCATAACAATATCACATTCGTTTTTAGAGTAGATCCGGTGTAGGAAAATACTAAAACAAAAATCGCTTAAATATTTATTAGAAAAATGAAAGAGCGAATTATTCTTACATTATAAACTAAATGTATTCTATAAAAAATGGAATGACGAAAAATCTCGATAAAAAGTTATTAAAAAATATATAAATCAGGAGAAACGTTTATGTTTTACATGGATTTAAAAAATTTACGTATTCCTCTCCAACTTAATTGATCTAAATATAAACACAAGCCGAGACCTTGGCCGTCCGTGAACCTAAGTCAACACCTAGCTGTGGCACCGGTCAAGCCGGTCTGTTAGTAACCTCGTTGCTGCTATCTTAGTAAACATTAACATGATGAAACGTTCAGTTTACAACCAGAAAAACCCGCAATCGGTGGACGACCTCCGCGGAAACGGACGGTCTAATGAAGCATAAACGTGAAGACGTAATGTGATTAGTGAATGGTCGCATCCGTCCGATCAGAGTGTACACTTGTAGTGAAGTAATCTGCACTCACTTCACACTATTAGTTCACTTGCTGCTGTCGATCGTGCTTAATTAATTTACCGAATTGTGAATTACTTTACACACAAGTCCTAAAATAATACCAATTTCATTAGCGATGGTTCTGAGATTATCGAAAGGTCCCAAAATAAAAGTTTGGAACATTATCTGTAAATTCACTACCAATTTTTTAGGTTGAAATGTTATAACTATCCATAAATAATATTTAGGTGTTTTAGGTTGGGTTGCGTACGGTTGGATTAGAACCAAGAAATAATATATACCATAAATTCTGATTTGTTAGCAAAGAAATGAATTGATATTATAAGGCCTTACCTTAGCAATCAGGATTGCTAAGGTAAGGCCTTATAATATCAATTAATGTATAAGCAATCCAGAGGCTAAAATGATTGAAAGAAATGAAGTTGCCAGGGAAAATGTTTTGGAGACTTAAATGGGTGGTTAGACTGTAGAGTTAATAAAATAAATTAAAAGAGCATTATATTCTAGAAAATGTCAATGAAAGAAATCGTTTTTGCTAAGCTTCCTGTGGTTTTTCTTTCAACACTTTATAGTATTTTTTTTAATCATTATCCTCCACAAAATATTAAACATAAAGTGTAGTAAAAACCGTAGATAATCCGTGTAGTAAATAAACCCATCCATTTTTTTTTATTTTTGTAATATTTACTAAACTATTAAAGTTAAATGCAAATTCTCAGAGATGAAAATTGGCCATAAGTTTATACATTTGAATTGAAAGTGAACAGTCTAGACGTAGTGTAAACAATATCGTGAGTAACCCAATCACCTTAACATGCTTCCGGCTAGACTTCTGTAACAAACTGTCCTTAGGTAAAAAAAATTTTACACAGTTCTAAAGGATATTTTACTTTTGTTATTTTTTTATTTTTATTGCAGTTCGAAATGTTAAAAAATAGACTCAAAATGACTTCAATTTTGAAACACCTGTTTATACACTATAATACATTGTGAAAACGTACACTGTGCACTTTTCGCCCATTTGTCTCAGCCTCAAAGGGAATTTAATAAGCTTAATGTTGCCGATAAACAAGCACTGAATTGAATTTATACCGTGGTTAAAGCAAAGTCACTGCATAATGCGGGCAAAAACACCTGTAAAAACTAGATTTGTGGCGAGAGGAGTACAAGATTAGCGGTGGCGGTTCCGTGAACTTCCGCAGACACATGTCAATTAAAAGGCACATGTTGGCATGGTTATGTCCTATTCCGCCCGAGTTTTATTTCGCCCGGAGCCTAATTACTCCCAATTCGCCCGCGGTCCCAGATTAACCCCTATAATCCTCAGCTCTACCTGCGTCAGGAGTCCTATTCCATCCACGGTGGCGAAGCCCCGCCTCCTAGGACCCCACCCACCCCCGACTATGTAAAAGCCCTCCCCTACCCATCACCCCGTTATCCACCTCCGACTACACGGTTATTTAAGCTTGAAATATTTATTTGACAAACCAGACAAACCAAGCGAATTTCCTTTATATTAATGTAAAGTTTAAACACGAAGTTTTAAGCATTAAAATATAAAGGGGCATGTGCCCTTATTGATGTAGCCGTTGTAAAGATATGTTAAATCTTTATAATCTGGAACTTTCCTTTGCGTTGAAACGCTTCAACAGTGATATTGATACATGTTTACGACATAACAGATTAATAAAATTTGCTACCTATGTGCTGTTAGTTACTGTATGTTTGTCTCCCTATCCAAAATGTGCAAATAAGCAATTTAATTATTTAAAATATTGCGTTTAACGGCAAACAGAAACATATGATAACACTGCAATCCAAGACATGGCCAAACAATGGCCACTAGTTAGCGGCTTCTAGTGTTAAATACCCAACTGCACACCTTTGAGTTTTCTTTATTATGCAATGTAAATAATTCACCTATTGGGTTTGATGATGATTGGAGTGTCGAATCGAACTCGATCACCATTTGCTATCTTTTATGTATATTTATCGTCTGATGAGATAACAGTATGAGGGCACAAAAGTTTTAAGTGTTATTAGACTATATTTTTTTACTTTTCATATACAATGTAATATAGTAGTTTATGCAAGGAATGCGTTAAGATAGTGTCGTTTACTCTTTTTACGCGAGTTGCGTACACTACTTTACCTACGACAATATTTTCTTATTAATAACCAGACAGGATGTGGATGAAGCGCGAGGGATGTTGAATTGGAATGTCCAAGCGTTGTCCGTGAGAAATAACAGGGGAGAAATAGCAGAGTTTCGCATTTTTCCAAGAGAGGGTGGTCATTAAGGATTCGTCATCGGTATGCTTCTTTTTGGGGAGATGAGAGCTAAATCTCATTTCCATATGTGCCGTTGACTGTTACACATCGCGATGGAGTACACAACTAATAATAGAGGTGCGCTTAGTCTTATTTACAACGGGTATGGCTATTATAAAAAACGGGAGAATAAATCTGGTGAAGTGATCTGGTGGTGTAGTAAATCGTATAACGGAGGTTGTCTTGGAAAGGTGATTGTTAAGGAAGAAGTAGTGTTGAGGGAAGAAGCTCATCAGTGTATTCCGGACGTTGCAAAGTTGGAAGTGAAAAAAGCTATTGCTAACGCAAAGAAGAGGGTTCGACAGGAAGACAACATAACCGTGGCAAAGGTATGTAAACAATATCTTGAATAACATTTTCCTTGTCAAACAATTTTTCGTAATACATCTCTTTTTTGATTGATACTGAAGTCGAAGTTAAATTGTTTCTTTTCTATGGTTAGAAAATAATTTGTATACCGTACTTGACGAATTTAAATGTTCGAACGAGGATTCATAAGTTGTAGTACATTTTCATTTTAATTTAAACAAGCATAACTGTCTAACAACCATCATTCTGTGAAAATAACCCTCTAGTTGTTTCAAAATAAGACCGCATTATTTTGGGTTATACTAAGTCTTCATCAATGTTTTCATTCCTGTTGTTTAAAAACATAGATTTTAAATATCGAGGGAGCAGCGTTTTCAT